TATCTTCATATAGCCAATATAGGACAGCCGAGACGAAAAAAAATGCCACTAGCGATCGACCTTATAGTCATATGATAGTCACATGCTAGAAGCGTTGTTATTCATATATCAACAACATATCTGATATTCAAAATATATTATTCGTATTTTTACTTCAAATTGGTTTTTCTATTCAAAATATGTTATTCATATAACAACAGCATATTTGAAATATATTAACAATGTATTCAAAATATTCACTATATCATTAGTTTGAGTACATATTTTAACATACTTTGAAAATATTGTAAAATTATTTTATTCATATTACAAAATTATTTACTACATTAGTTTAAATTTCAACATATATTAAAAATATTATAACATTATTTTATTAATATTACAAACATATTACGTATATTAAAATATGTAGAACATATATATACCATCTGTTAGTAACATGTAGTGATTATGTCTAACATATTTTGTGAAAATCAGAGGTTTCTGCAAAGAATGTTATTTGTAGGATCATGAGAAGAATACCATTTCATCATTTTCCTAGGTTCCTTATCCTTACATAGAAATTACTTGTCAGACATCCCGCTACTTTGCGAACTAACGGCTATTGGTTATGAAATGATACGTAGCTTAACAATTTTATATTTGTGGACGTTTCAATGGAATAGATAGCGGAAGGATGAAACTAAAAATGGTAATATATGACAGTGTCCACATGAACGCAACCTGGCCAGCAAACTTGGTCGCATAGGAAAAATGTATACGCCAACGCCTAATGAAATGTCGATAATATTTCTCACGCCCGTGCCTACAAATATTTCATGAACGCAACTTTTGTTTTCCTACAACTAATAGAAATTTGCCATCATAGAAATGGCCACTATTGAGCTTATTTGTATGGTTTAGCACGATAAGGGTCTTTGTAACCCACCATATACTGTTCCTACGATGTGGAAAGTCGCCATAGAAAATGAACACCTCCGATATGTCAAAATCCAAGATATTGATATCCGGGCCATCGACGAGAAAGAAAAAGTAGTCCTTTCTATGACACGAAGTATTCAAGAATATTGGCCGGACGAAGAACCCATTTCCGGCTATATTCACGTTATGGTTGCTAATCTTCCAAAGGAAACCTTCGTAAGCCAAACAAATATTCGGATACCAAATTTCGAAACAAGTGTGAATATCGCCATACCAGGACAGCGTGTTTATGTGCCAGAAGGAGGTTGGAGCTTCTTACGAAATATGTTTTTAAGCGCACCGAGGCATTAACTATTATCTATTGTTCGCAGCTTTTTTTGTGTTACCATCATGGGACGAGTCTAGTCCATCGGGACCAACACTGCTAGCTCGAGCTAAGGAATGCAAATACTGCGAAAAAATGCATACTGGTCCCTGTGTGTGCGTCACTTGTAAACACTTCCACTATACCGATAGACATGATTATCCGCATATGTGGGGATGTATTTGCGCTATCTGTAACAAGGATAACCTACACAATGGTTGGCATTATTGTACACCAATTAACAAAGAACTATGGCGAGACAATTTCGAAAACTGGAATAGTGGCGACCCTGAAGTCGACAAGCTTATCCAAGACTCGCAGTTAAATGCAAATGAAATTGGGGAGTTGATGGAATGGATCGAGTATTCCAACTTTGTTGACATAGAGAAGATTGGAGAAGGAGCGTATGGGGTTGTTTATGTCGCTACTTGGCAAGATGGTCCGCTCAAGACTCCAGGGTGGGACCACATCAACAAATGTCCGGATAGGTGGGGCCCTACTACTAAGGTAGTTATCAAAAAGCTAAAAGGCGGGTCTAGTCTAAGTACGGAATTTTTAACCGAAGTGAGCAATTGCAGGTCTCGTATAATTTGCGCTTGGCCTCAAAAGCCGATGTGAGTCGCATTTACGGACTAACATTTGACAGCGCAACACAAGGTTATGGGATAGTAATCGAGTACAACAAGTATGGCGATATGAGACGAGCCATGCGAGAAATTGCCGACAATGAATTGTACAAAAAAAAGGGATTGTCGTTGGACTGTATGTGTTTGAATTCATTAGGAACCTGAATTACAGCCTAAGAAATATCCACCGAAACGGTTATTGTCATCGGGACCTACACTCTGGTAATGTTCTAGTCGGGGGAGATACACCTACTATAATGCAAAAAATTTCTCTAGCACTGCTAGGTGGGAGTTACACGGCGTTATTTCGGACTTCGGTTTGTGCATCCCTGCAGACAAGAGTTCTTCAGATAACGGAATATATGGAGTTTTGCCATTTATGGCCCCTGAAGTGCTAAGGGGACGTAAACATACCAAGGCATCTGATATATATGGCTTTGGGATGGTAATGTATGAACTACTAACTGGCAAGCCGCCTTTCTTTGGCGAAAGGCAGGATTTGGGTCTGATAACAGCAATAATTGAAGGGAGCCGACCGCACGTTCCACGATATACGCCACAGTTCTACAAAGAATTAATGGAGCAGTGTTAGGACTCTCCGATGAAATTTTCGATAAAATAGAAGATTTGCACCCCAATGTGGTGTACAATGAAGACGATTATAGGATTATGCCACTTATAAGCGAGGAACAAGAAAAACAATGGAGGGAACAACTGCTGGATAGGGATACCACAGCAAGTCTTCAGCAAATGTCGCTTTGTAGCACCCTCATTTCCATTGACTCCTCTAGTTTAGAACAACATGAATATCCTAGTAATAAATTTGATATAAGTATGTTAGCGAATTTTTGTTCCTTTCTAAATTCCTTTGGTGGTTACGAAGTGCGAATGCTTCAGTTATCGTACTCTTTCCAGCGATCATGTTCTTACACTTCTTGTTCATACTTTTTAATCATTAGACGACAGTACCGAATTTGCCTTGAACACTGAATTTATCAATCTTATTCCCTTATATTAATAAAAGGCCTGATTTTTTTTGCAAATATAGTCATCGATCATCTTGCCGCAGCAGTTAGCAATTTCAACTCCCCAAATTTGTAGATCACGTGATTTTGTTCGGTTAACTGTCACCGATTACGTGATTGTGGAGAACGCAGTGTCTAAATCATATTCTTCACGCCTATTATTTGTCATAACCCATATGAGTTCGGCTATTAGTTTTTCCCCTTTATTAAACAAGTTTGGTATATTATGATTCATTTAGGTAATCCCAATTTTACCCTTTTTTGATTGGCGTATGTTGATTGTTAAAAACGAAAAAAATGTTTTAATCATATGTAAGGGACCTCGCAAACAAAAGCGATAAAACTTTGTTAGAACAAAAGGGAACAAGGAGTTTTTTGCAAACTACAAGATTTTTAAGTGGTAAATTTTTTTTATTTAAATAAATGATTTTTTGTTTTCGCACTCTTTATTCCTTACGCAAAAAAAAAAAAATGTTGAATTTTGCAAGGACTTTAAATCTGAAAATCTTTTTACTTGTTCACATTCCCATTCTACTTATTTTACCCCGAAGTTTAGTAATTTTCGTATATAATTGGTACTATATATACCGATGTACTACAAGTATTTAATAAATTTTAACAAAAAGTTTGTCTCATGTTTAATTTCTGTTTCTTTATTTTATGTAGGATACCAAAAGAGCCAGTTCTATATATATATATATATATACCCTCTTCGTTGCTTGTCTTTACAAAATATTATTCAATGAAATAAATATGGAAAATCTTAAAGTTTCTTGGTGTCGAAGCCCAACAAGAGGTTGTTAATTGGTTCAACGCAAACTACAATAATAACAACGACACTGATCCAGTTTTAATTGTGATCGAGTGGGATGTAAATACAAATCTAGTTCAAAGAACCCAAATAATGAACCGTATGTTTAAAAATATTGTACTGCACTTTCTTCTATATTGTCAAACCTTATTCTTTTTTTTGAATCAGATATTCAAGTGAACACCACAGTCGCTCCTCAATTGAATAATAATCCATCGAGCACTCTTTTTTGCGTTACCGGTCGTGACGCTGGCCAAACAGTTGAAGACGCCATTTCTGCGGTCCGCCGGAATATGTTCCAAAGAAACGGTGTTGTACTTGCAAGAATTTTTAGCATCAAAGCAGAGAGAAAAGATCTTTTCGAAATTATCGAACACTGGGACGTTTTCGCCTAAGATTATTAATGTTTTTTTACAATAAAGAAATTAAAATTCCCTAAGTATTTTATATTTCCTATTTGTTATACCGTACCTTCAAATTAATCCATCAAAATCCTTTATATCAGAACCATATTACCATTGAATGGTGAATTAATGCAACTTAGATCATGTCAATTATTTTTTTTTCCATTGATTTTTGTCAGGGGAGGGTACATGTTTAAATAAATTTTTCAGATATGATTAAAGTGTAACATGTTAGCCTTAATTATTTTTAAAAAAATTTTTGAATTGCGGCTATAAGATTTTTATAGCGTTTTAAAAAATAATAAATATTTGGTACGTGAATTTTAACGAACCATTAAAATTTTTAAAGGAAAAAAAAGTCTTGTTCTCTGTTGAGATAAAAACAACTCAAGAAAAAAACATAATAAAAAAAATTTATGGAAATTGAGATGATTTTTCACTTCCGATAATTTTTTTGTGTTGTGATGTTTTTATGCACTACACAAAAATTTCCGATAGTTATAATGAAGGAAAAATAATAATTTATTTAAGAAAGGTTTTAATTTGAGAGCAAAATGAAAATATTTAAGTTTTTTTTCTAATTTCTATTTCAAAAAATTAATGATAGAAGAATTTTTTAAAAAAGACACATTGCTGAAGTTTCCGCTTGAAACGTATAAATCAAAAGGGATTTTTTTTTTTAGACATTTTGGTTGTACAAACGCCAACAAACCCGTAGTTTTTTTTTAACAATATTACTGTTGTGAATCGTTACATTTGAAGAAATGATAACAATGAATTGTTACAATTATTTGAAAGTCAAATTGTATTTCGAATGTTTGAAAATTTTTGAGATAGAATTTCGAATATGATTCGAATATCATATAATATTCGAATTAATCATATGATATTCGAATCTCACATGATATTCGAATTAATATATGATATTCGAATCTCACAATATTCAAATTTCATAATTTTATTACGAACTATATTTTTTTTTTAGTAAAATTATGTCTTTATTTCTTTATTTTATTTAACATTTATATTATTTCCTTTATGTTACAAATTAAAGTAATTACATGATATCAAGTAAATTGGAATTTCTTTTTAAAAAGATTGATTTTTCTACTTTTTCTGGTTTTAAACTCTTCAATGTTGTTATTATATTCTGTTTCTTGACCTTCTTCCATAATAAATATATAATAGTCAAAAGAAAAAATTAGTAAAATATCAAAATTTTTTTTATCAATGATCAGTCTATTTATTCTGTACACAAATAGGCGTCAAATCAATGAAATCATGTGGCAAATTTGAATAGATCAAATCTTATAAAACATTTCACATGACATTCAAATATCAGATGATATTCGAATCTGATGATATTTGAATCTATTTATAGATTCGAATTTTAATATTTCAGTTTCGAATATAGATTTAACTATGATTTACAAACGAATGTTCGAATGTCCTAATTTCAAACGGAAGCTCTAGTTACAATTCTTGTTTATGGTTGGTTTTTCCGAATTAAGTAATAAATATTTTCCTCTTGGCTTAACTGTCGATCTTATCCAAATTGACTAAACTTTTGGGTTTTTAATAAAGTTTCGGTTTAGGTATATTTCGGTATGTATAATTTCGGATCAGATTTCGGTTTTTATAGTTTCGGTATATACTATCCCTAAATGATTCCAGGTAGTTTCGGCTTCGATACCCATGTTTAAATTTATTTATCACCAATTGTGTGACATGTGTGATAACGAATATTTTAGGTAATCGTTGTCACACATGTCATTCATATTGTAATGATTTTTTTTTAAAAAAAAAAACGTTTTTTATAATATAATTTTTTTTCTTTAAAAAATTGTTTTTTTTATTCTTTTATTTCAAAAAAAATTGTTTAACACAAATTGGCAAAAGTTAAGCTCTTATTTATTATTTTTTTTTATTTGGGAACGTTACTAATGTTCCTTTCCATTTTTTATCTTTAGGCCCTTCTCTTTACTGAAATTCGCGTCCAAAGTGGACAATTAGCTGTAAATTATTAAAATTATAAAATTTTTCAAGTAGGGTATCAAATCTGTTCACCAAGACACGGCATGTACCATTTTATATTTTAGATCAGGTCTGATATATATATTTCGGCATTACACGGTGTATTGCCAAATTACCGTGAATTAATCAATCGCTTACAATAATCATTATTACGCATAATTACAGTAAACTGCTCAAGAAATTGATGATAAATCTCGGTTGCTTTCATTTTTGATAAATAAGTGCAATCAAATTTATATTATTTACGTTACGGAAATCAAAAGATTTCTTTATTATTAAAATCCAAAATTTATAATATATATTTTTGTTATACATTAAACTTTCATTTTAATACATGACAAATTCTGAACCTATCCAGTTAATTGATGACTAAAATATTACAATCAGGACAACCAGATGCTTCATTATATTCTTCAATTATATACTAATAAAAGAAAAAAAATCAACATAATAAGTTTAAAAACAAGGTAAAGTTATATAGTAATCAAAATATATAATTACTTACCGGATGATCTTTGGAACAATGTCCTAATGAATTAAAAAATAATTAATAAAATTAATTTATTTTTAAGAGCATTAAAATAAGTTATGATAAACTCACCTGATTTATTAAGTCTCGTAATTTAATCAATCTTCCGGTTAGATTTCAACCAACAGAAACGCATTGCAACTTTGCACGCCACTACATCACAATGAATATTAAAAATGTAGAGATGAACGCGATGCAATTCTCGTAATTTTGAAGGATGTTTCTTATGCGCGTGGAAAGAATCTATTGCGATGTAATGTGATCATTTTAAAACCATTTAGCGAGCTACGTGAGCTCGACACGTTCGGCTTTTAGGAATTAATAGATGCACGATATTGAATCCGAGTTGCTTTTCTTGATAAGATGGTTCTCGATCTTAAAGTTGTACCAAAATTCTTTGAAAAATACTTACGAACACCTTTCAAAGTTTCAGAATATGATAAAGAAAAAATTACATTGCAACAGCACGACGCGTTTCTGGCAGCTTTGAATCTACAACATACGTAAAAAATCAAACCCAGTGAAAATATTCAATTCTTCAGTTCCTAGAAACTATCAACACTTGTACGGTAATAGCTTGTTACATAATACTTTACATTTTCCATGATGTGCGCGTTCAATAGGGACGTTTGTATCTCCACTTATTTGTGAAGAAAGTTTTTGACATTCATGACATTCATTTAAATATTCATGACCACATGCTAATCGTTTTCCGCACTTCTCTTTACATTTAGCATAATCGACTGATGCATTGCACTAAAAAATAAAAAAAAAACGCGTTAAAGATATTACAAAAAAAAAAACAAAAAAAAACAAAATTTTATTACATACATTCATGACTTTGTAGTGTTCACAAGATGGTACCAATAGGAAATTCACATTTAAGTGTCTCTTTAGTTTGATCTTTCCAGCATTCAAGGCAGAAAAGAAATATATATATATATCGCATAATAATTCTCGTTACATATTAAACACTCTTGATCTCAACTTTAAGGAATTTAACGTTTCTTCCACTTCGCTGAGTTCTCTCACACCTTATTATTCACTACCCATCAACTCATATACTTTCTCCATCTCCTAACTACTATATAAGATAAGAATGGTAAAAAATAAAAACATAAACCAAATAATAATCCTCGTTCCACAAACACTTGATCTCGACTTTATAAGAAATAACGTTCCTTCCAAGCTGAGACATAAAGACTACGCACTTCTCAATTATACGCTACCTACCAACTCATACACCATCCCATCTCCTTTAACTGCAAATATACCAAATAATAATCCTCGTTGCACACCAAACACCCTTGATCTCAACTTCATAAGAATTTAACGTTCCTTCCAAGCCAAGACACTAATACTAATTACAACGCTATCCGTCAACTATAACCTTCCCCATCTTTAACCACAAATACATCAAATAATAAATCTCGTTGCGCATCAAACTCAACTTCATCAATAAGGAATTTAACGTTCCTTCTACACCACAAGACAAAGAAAATAATAGAACACATCCAATTATACATTATCCATCAACTCATATTTTTCCACATCTTCTCTAACTATACAAGATAAAAAAGAAAAATACATCAATAATAATCCATGTTGCACATCAAACACTCCTGATCTCGTTTCTTCCACACCATATAACCAAGGAATAAATAGAACACACTCTATTATATGTTACCCATCAACTCGTACACTTTCCCATCTCTTTTAACTACAAATACATCAAATGGCTTACACTAAACACTTGATAACAATTTCATAAAAAATTTAACATTCCTTCCAAGCTAAAACACAAATACTACACATTCAATTATACGCTACTATCAACTCCCCTAACTACACAATATAAGAAAGAAAAAATACATCAAATTATATTTTTCATTACAGCAAAACACTCTTGATCACAACTTCATCAATAAGGTATTAAACCTCCATTACCATAACCATGAGATATTGCATCAGCAGCTTTTACAAAAGATCCTACAGTTGCAAATTTTCCTAAAATAACTTTTTGGTAACGACTAACGAGTTCAAGACGATGAGCTTCACAATTGGCTTCTCCAATGAGTTCGTTCACGTTTGTTAATTGAATTTGTAAATTCTCCCTTCTTGCAATTGTCATAATTCTTGATCTGGCTTGTTCATTTGAGGTATTCTGAACTGAAAGTTCGTTAGAACTAGTTAGAAAATCCAAAAAATATGAATACAGTCAAACCTCCATATAATCACTCTATATAAGAACGCCTCCTTATAAGCACTTAATTTTAGTAATTGGGATTCTGTTATTAATCACTTAAAGTTTTTACACTGCTGAACAATCAATCTAGTTTTAGCAAGAGCGTCAACTACGAATTTATAGTATTTAAAAAGAAATAACATAAAAATTTTTTTTGTTTATTAGACTTCATAGTTATTTCAAAGGCGAAAACAACGTGAAGAACGAAAGTTATAAATTAGTACGCGACTACGTGAACTCATCATATTAATAATTAACGCGTGGGCACCGATTTCTATTCCTAATGAAATCAGGTGCCAAATTAATAGTACCCTAGCGCAGTATGTCCAAAACTGTCCAAACCCCATATTTAGTAAGACTAAGGGCTTATTTGTAGATCATTTCAAGATTATCTTTTTTTTTTTCTTTATACTTTGCTTATAACCTTACTACATTTACACCTTAATATTTTAACTTATGCCACTTCATAACGGAGGCCGACCTAGGCATGTCCTTTCTACTTGTCCAATTGGTTTTTTTAATTGGACAATTTTGGACTGTCCAGAACCAGTTTTGGACATAATTTTGGACATAATTTTGGACATAGTTTTGGACAGTTTAAAACTGTTTAAAAGTTCTAATATTCATCAATTGAAACTAAAAATAAGATATAAATATAATGTTGGAATATTAAAGTAAATATTTAATAAATTAAATGATAAAAAATCAATGTAAAATCAAATAATATTAAAAATGATATTTAAAGATTTTTGAAATAATTTAATAATTTGAACTAAAATTTAAATATTAGCCAAAATTAGTCATAATTCTGGCCAAAATTAAATTTTTTTGTCATGTGATCTGTCCAAACCTGTCCAATGAAAAAAAGGTTTTGGTTTTGGCCCTAGGCCTAGCTGCCTAGCCACGGCAAAAAACAAATGGCAGTCACGTGACGCATCTGATCCGACGTCGGTAAATATATATTCTATTCGTAAAATTAAAATATTGACAAATTATTTTTTTAAAACATATAAAATATGTAAATAAAAGTTAACAATTTCGTTTAAGACTTTAAGTCAAAGAAATAAAATAAATTACAGTAAAACACGTTTCAGTACTACTAAATTATTAATTAATTATGCATAAAATCTCGCGATTCGCGTTCTAAAATAGGTCATTAATGGGAGGGATTCACGCTTTTGTGTATAACACACATTTATTTTAAATATTTGATTAATATCACTTATTTTTACTTTAAAAAACACTGCGCAAAGAAAACTAAAATGAATAAAGAAATTTTGAAAGGTATTAATTTTGTTCGTGATCTAATATGATAATTAAAATTGAAAATTAAGGTTGAATAAATTAAAAAATCATACAATATAAAACGTCCATTCAATAGAATTTTCTGGTCCGAATTTTAATGAAAAAAATTGTACTCGCTGTTCATGCATAAAGAAAAGGGCAGATTTTTACCGTCCTTGTAGTACCAATCCACAGAAAGAGTATTCAACTTGCAATAAATGTTATGAAAAACGTAAGAATACGCGAAAAGAAATATATCCGATCTCCAGAAAAAAAAGAACTTGAAATGAACCGATTCCTCGAATAAATACTGATTCCAGTCGAACTCGTTTAGCATTTAGTATTTTATTAATCAATAAAGTTCACCACATTGGGCTTTATCTTAATTTTAACAGTATATCCTACATGCGGGTGGTGGTGTGGGTGTGAAGTAATAAAACAAGGCCATTGTTATTTATACCCCCAATTTTGCTCCCTTTTCCCAACTTACGAATCTTGAGCTACTAGATGATATTATGCAAGATGATGACAATAATGTCAATGAATTTAATGGTGACTTTTATATGATTTGGAAGAGGTACAAGAAATAATTTTCAAGCGGTTTCAAGATGCAGAAGACTTGAATGAACCAGTAATATTAGCATTTGAAATAGAGCAACTTGATTCACGACTTGTTGAATGCATTTTTCCAGAATTTCAGCCCTATGTATATGATCTTGAAAAAATCATGAAAAATTTCCGCCAATTAATAAATATTTCATATTACTGATTAAAGATGGGTCTGGTTATTATTTGGAGGTCTGGGATATACAGTATATACTTCTTAATACAAGAAAGAATATTTTTACAGGTTGTGCCACAGCATATCTTGGATGTACACAACAAGAGGATAGGCGGTGTCACAGACCTGAAAATCTGCCAGTGAAACGAAGAAGTGAAGCTCGTCGATATGCTTGTATGGGAAATATCATACTTACTATTGATCCCCAACAACAACGCATTCTTGTTATTGTAATAAAAATAGTTTACATTGTACGATCAACAAAATTTTACGATAATGCCTCCAATATTTCCAATTATTGAATGTTATAATTACCGTATTTGATTAATTAGCCATAATTACTGCCATAATTTTGACAGCGCTTATAGAGTTATAGACATAATTGGAAATAAATATATAAACACTAAAATGGTAAGAATTAATTGACATGTTGCGAGAGTTGTATTATATATGCAAAAAAAAAACTCATGGAAATGAAAAAAGTGCACGTTTGTAAAAACGTTACATTGTACGCGTGACAGATTATATTTTTCTTGCATGTATTGTAAATTAAAAAATTACGAAAACCAATTGAAAGTAATACCACATATGCAAAGAATCTAGGAACAGAATATAATCATCCATTTATCATTGTAATAAAAATAGTTTACATTGTACAATTTTACGATAATGCCATTCTTAGCAATTAAGTATTTCTATCCAATATTTCCAATTATCGAATGTTATAATTACCGTATTTGATTAATTGGCCATAATTGCTGCCATAATTCAAGAATTTTGACAGCACTTATAGAGTTATAGACGTAATTGGAAATAAATACTTAAACATTAAAATAGCACGAATTAATTGACATGTTGCATTATATATGCAAAAAAAAACTCATGGAAATGAAAAAAGTGCACGTTTGTAAAAAGATTACATTGTGCGCGTGGCAGATTATATTTTTCTTGCATGTATTGTAAATCGAAAAATTGCGAAACCCAATTGAAAGTAATACCACATATGCAAATAATCTAGGAAACAGAATATCATCATCCATTTATCATTGTAATAAAAATGGTTTACATTGTACAATTTTACGATAATGCCGTTCTTTAGTAATTAAGTATTTCCATCCAATATTTCCAATTATCGAATGTTATTACCGTATTTGATTAATTAGCCATAATTACTGCCATAATTCAAGAATTTTGACAGCATTTATAGAGTTATAGTCATAATTGGAAATAAATACATAAACACTAAAATAGAAATAATTAATTGACATGTTGCGAAAATTGTATTTTATATGCAAAAAAAAACTCATGGAAAGGGAATAAGCTAAAAAAAGTGTACGTTTTCCATATAAAAAAATTGAAAAAATTATTTCTTTGTTTTATATGCCAAATGTCCCGTTTGAATACCCGATAACCCAGTCATCTAAAAAAAAATGAACAGTTAGTAAAAGTTCGTTAATAAAAAAAAATATATATCTTTTTTACTTGTCGAAATTCACGTTCAAGTACTTGAAAAAAGAACGTCTAAAAAAAGGAAATAAAAGTATAAAATGAAACGCTAGTTAACGTTTTGTTAAAATAAAAAACAAAATTAAAACACGGTAGTTTGAACTTACCGAAATGCCGCGTGCCAAGGATTAAAAAAAGAAAAAAGGCCTGACCGTCTAAAAGAAAAAAGAAAAAGAAACATTAGTTAATGTTTCGTTAAAATAAAGAAAATTTAATAAAAAAATATCTTACCGTAAGAAAATCTGAAAGAACAGCCTAAAAAAAAGAAACGAACTGTTAGAAACCATTCATTAAAAGGAAGAAGAAATAGATAAAAAAAAGTTTTAAAATTTACCAGAATATCGCCTCCAAAGAAACCTGGAAGAACCGTCTAAAAAAAAAAAATAGCGAAACGTTACTTAACGTTTCATTATAGATTTTGTAGAGAGAGGGAAAGAACAGAGTGAAGAAATAGGACGAAAAAAGGAAAAGGTGAGAGAGGGAAGAAGGCTATGATGGCGCGACTGGGGTCCATATCGATATATGGCCGCACTAAGATTACAACACGTGATACACGTGATTTTTCAATTTTAAAATAAAAATGAAATATAAAATAAAATTTTTTAAAGATTTAGATTTAAGGAATACATAGGGATTTTTTATATAGGAATCTTTAAGGAACTGTAAACTTATAGAGATTCCTTAAGGATATTTTACAAATCAATAAGGATTTTTAAAGAATCCATAAAATTACAGATCCTTAAGGACTCTGAAGCAATTTATGGAATCCTTAAGGATCCATATCTCAAAAAATTTACTGAGTCATCCACATCCATCTCTTGATCCGGCACACCTCTTCTTGGATTACTGGTGGGCGTATCTGAAGCTGATTGCTCATTCTCCTAGATAACAGGCTTAACTGTTGCGGTGCAATTAGAAAAGGGCAGTGGTTTTCTTGAATACATCCCTTATGAAATATATGCCCACAAGGCAATGTTGTGAATGCTTCAAAAGTTACGGAAATGATGTCTCTCTCGCATTGTGAACAATTCCCAATTCATTAAATTCTTTATCCTTAATATCATCCCCTAGATTTTTTAGGATGCTATATGCGAGGTTCCTAATGTTGAGGGACTATGAATGAGCGAAGCGAAACATGACCGTTTTTATAGCACTTGAATTCTATAGAGTAAAACGATTCCTGGAACTCCAATTAAATTTCACCATTTCGCTAATCACCCCTTGCAAATCACGGACGATTAGCACACACATCCCTGCTTTTTTTCTCATAAATACTCGAACAAAAGAGCGCGAGCCTGAAGGATAAGCAAACCCTTATTTGTGAAATCCAAACAAGAAATGTATTTTCTTATCTGCAGTTTTTTTCTGGGCACGAATGCAATGAGTGGACCAGGCGAAATATTGATTGTCAGAAAATTTATCCATACCCTAATATTGTTTTATTGATATGATAATAGCGTGACTGAATACATGATGCGCAAAAAATAAATATAAAATAGTCTTAGAAAAAAATGGTAGATTCGTAGCCCCTATACATTCGGCAAGATTTTTACCGAATATCTTCTGCGCTTAGGATTATTTTCTTGTAATAACTAAAACAATCACTTTATTTGATTGAACTTTATAGTTTATAAACATGTAGACATACACATAAAAAATATTCTGCAAAGACGCAAATAACTTTTTGATCTTATATTAAAAATACATGTTTAATGAATAATACATTAATGATTCTTTTAAAGGATATTTAGTATAATATATATGCAAAAAATAATTAATAAGAGTATCATCTTCTTATTAGATGTTGAAGATACGCTGATAATCCTCTAATTCGGCCGTACCTTGGTTATTCTATAACAGTCCGATATCTGGGACATTTTGGTTAACTCGATCATGGTACGACCTATATTTGAGAAGTTAGAAACATTGCAAATATTTCCAGAAAATAATAATAATAAAGCTTAACACTAACCAAGCTGGAAAGCCGTTTAAACAGCTAGTTAGTTGACATCCACTTCTAAATGAGAAAATTGTATCTGAATTAAATTCTTAACGCCTCCATGCGTCGTGATATGTTGAATGAGCGCGCGCTAAAATAATTTTGAACAATGAATAACAAATAAAATTAAAAATACCTTCGTCTGAGTTCTGCCGTTACGCGGAAATGGGTTGGCCCATTTAATGACGATAATGGGATCGTCAACGCACATATTTCTATAATTTCAACGAGAAGTCCCGCATATTCTTTTATAAATTCGCTTAAGCCTAAATGATAAAGAAAAAGATTATAGATTGTTTCGAGCTTTTCACTTATTTGTATCACCCAAGGAAAGTATTTTAGAAAGCACTTTTATGTCTTCACTCCTATTTTCGGAACTAACTTCAACTCATTTCGCTCATGGTACTCATAGTAAAAGCAAGTAGAGTTTTATTAAAAGAATAGAGAGAACCTATGGTATTATTTATACTGATTTACTTGATTTATATTGATTGATTGATTATTAAGCAATAGCTTTTATTGTGATACTACATTCATTTTTTTTTATAAATACTCATGTGGGTGGTTTTGAAAATCGCGTGATATGTGATATGTTTGTGATATTTGTTTATCCAATCGTTATACAAATTTTGTACTTTTTCAGTTTTCGAATTACTTTCGGTATTAGTTTTAAAGTCTTTGTAACTTCGTTCACTTTGTGAAATAAAATAAAAATAAAAAAAAATACAAATTTTGTACTACATACAGGAAATAAAACAGAATTGTTTTTTTAACAAAATGAGAGTAGATAATTTTTATTTTTACAGAGCTTTTTATTTTAAACAAGATCCCGGATTATTTGGAACATTCCGAATATTATTTAATCAATATAAAAACAGGAGAATGTACATGTTTTGATTATGTATGGAATGGTCCGTTCAGAGATGTCTGCAAACACTGTCATGCAGCGTCAATTTTTAAAAAATCAATTGTTTTTCGGATCTATTATTGTTTAAGCAAGAAGTTAAAAAGAAGTTGGTACAGTACAAATTTACCAATTTCATTTCCTAATACTGTACCGTACTATTCAAATTCTACAGTACCATTAAACGATTGTCCACCTAACCAAAACCCATATTCTCTTTCACCTGCATACCTTGTTAATTCTAGTTCATTTGCACATCTCATAAAGTAGTATAACTGCGTCCAGTACTTTGAAGTTCTCAAGTTCCGATAATAGACAAGAAGAAAGTAGACTTTACTATTATGTTTAAAGAATAGTAGAGCCTTTAATAAAGTTTAATAAAATTAATAAAGTCTGTTAAATAGGTTTTTTATAATATACAACAAAATAAAAAAATAAAAAAAATTGGTTCGGAAATGTTTATTAATTGTCAAGTTAAAGTAACACGAGGAGGGACAAGAAGGTAATTTTTGCGTGTTAGTGATAAAAAAAGTCATATGTAGAAATATAAAACACGGATCAACATTTTTTACAGGGAATAACTTACCTTAATTTGAATCCTTTAAAAGAATGTATATTTCAAATATATTTATTTTATTTTATTTCTAGAAGACATTTCAAATATATTAAATTTTAACCGTTCATCATTAAGACAATCATGTGATCTGTGATAATCACATGATTTACGCATAAGTTTCAGTGGACCGACTGGACCGTGGACGTATAAATCAAGGAATCTATTATACTATTTATTCTAGATTTTTTTTAAAATAACTGAACGCGAATTATATTACTATTACAGTATTACTACATGGTGGTGAATTCTTATGGCCGTAAATTGTTACATTTTTTTTTTTATTCATTAAGTTAAACAGTTCGGTTGATTAAATCTGTAAACTCATATTCTAATCAATAAAGCTTATTACCAATAAAAACAAGAAATTCATTTTTGAATCTTTATACCCATTAGTTAATGTTGATAGTGGATCATATAAAGAAAACAAACAGGAACCCAACGCCTTATTCATCCAGTATTTTCACATCATTTATATTTATATTCTTTCGTTTAATTATTAAATGAGTCAATCATCTTTTATTATAAAATAATTAATATAAACCTAATAAAAAATTAAGTTTATAAAATTTTTCAAATTTGTAACTAATAAATGTATTAATAGATCATAGTTTTCATAAAAAAATTAATAACTTGTACAAAAAATACTCATTAATCTAATTTTCATATTTAGATTTTTTTAAAAAAAAATTTATTATATACATACATTACTTTCTAATCACTCTTACTTTTGGTCATAATTCTGTTCCATTGTTTCTTGCCAATTTAAACTTGAATTCCGATTTATCAAATTCGTATATTTCCTCATGATTGTATAGTTGTGTAGGGAACACTGAAACTATTACATTTTTGATTCACTTTCTCATCTAAAACGTTTAGATAGATTTACCTATTAGTTTAGTGACGAATAAATGGATGACAGAGGCTTTTCAGTTAAAAAAAAAAATATCATTAATAAAGTAACAAGGTAAATTATACTGCATGGAGAATAAGAAAAAAAACTTACCACTTTAGAATGCAACGCAGTTCAAATTTATAAAGAACATCTTGGCAGTGAATTCGGCCAAATTTGAAGTATTTAAAATTTAGATAGTTATTATTAATGTTGAAGTGATAGTCATTATCGATGGTCGCCAAGGACTGACTTGCTTGTTAAGAGTGCGTCTATCCTTCATTAATATCCCCAGTTTGAGAAATAGTCTTGTTCTCCTCCTCCTCATCATCATTTTCATCACATACTTTTTTCATCACGTATACCCTCTGATCACTTTATAGAATGATGTTTCTAACTTTGATGAGATGTAATAAAGCACTCCACAGCTACTCAAACACATTCTCTAAAAACATATCTTGCCTATGAAACAAAGTCATATTGATAGAATAAGATTTGTACTTTCAGATATGATGAATTTCTCATTCCTACATTGCTCGTTACTGCAATAAGCTCCTTCGAACAGCATTTAAACAATCATTTAAATTGCTTTTGCTTACATACGGATAGGTCTTCTAGCAGTTTATTTAGAACTTTCCGTTAAGAGTGCATTCCAGTACACTTTAATCACCATAATAACATAATAGTAAATATAATGTTGAACCGAATCTTTGATCCAAAAAGCAAGTAATTTGAGATTGATAGCCATACAAATTATTCCACTACTACCCGCCATGATCTTTAAAAGCGATAAGCCGATAACACCGCAGACTTCCTTTTATGTTAAACATAGAATCAAATTTACATATAGTTACAACAACTAATCCCTCCACTTCCTTTCATCTCCATCTTGATCTTTATCTTTGCTCTTCATATCTACAAACCATGATGAAGATATTGAACATACACAGTAAATAATATAATCAAACATTTGATTAAAAAACTTCAGTATCTGTAGTACCAATTCCTTTGGTACAAATATTTTTTTTTTGAATTATGCAACTTTGATCAGGATAGAACGTCCGTTTATTACTAAAATAATTTTGAGTCTTTCATAAGTGAAATTTTTCAGGAGAACTTGGAAGGATTGATCAATTTAATATTATAGACGTTGAATTTTGTAAATCTCAAAGGCGGTTGGTAATTCTTCATCATTAAAATTGATGTAAGCCCTAGAAGGTTCAAAAAATTTTTAATATCTTCAGTTAACGTGAATTAAAAACAAAAAATTTCCTTCAACTTACACAAGCCTACAAATTGCGTAATAAAGTGCAGGATCGTTATTCCAGATTATTTTGTACCAAAATTATGAATAACTTGACAAGTGTATCAGGGGAGTGATACATGGAAATATGACTTTGTGCATATGACTCACTTCCAATAATTTTTTACAAATAAAATTGCAGTACAGTTCAATGTTTTCCTGCATTCGTAAATTAAATAAAATAGTTATAAAAAAAATATTATTCGAACTGAAAGTACTGTAAACATTAAATTGTAGTTTGAATAAATTTCCTAGTTACCTACCTAATGAGGTTTTCCTACTTTGTACGCTATTTATTCAATCTTTTTAAATTAGCTCCTCCACCGAAACAGTAATGAAAATTTGATGCTGAATATTATAACAAATAAAAAAATGATACATATCATTCCCTAATTTTTTGATCTATAAATTAATCCTTGCTTTTAAGTTGTAACAAGCTCTCAATCAAAATGTTAAAATTACGCTTCAAAACGCACATACCAAAAACATGATCCACTTCAATCTTGACTTTTGTAATAAGTCATATTAATAGACGTATCGATAGAATTATTTGTACCATTCAGACATGATGAATTCATGCATCATTCGCCATTGCTAATTGCTGCAGTAAGTAGTGGTGCATCATGGTATATTTTTAATCATGACAACATCTAAAAATGTTGACCAGTACTTTGAGATCAATCATTGTGCTAATTACATTACTGTTCAACCATCAGATTCTCTTTTAATGGAAGGTTATGTTGAACAATCATTAAAATGACGATAGCTGTAAAAACTTAATCATTCTCTTCCTCTTCACCTTCATCTTGTTCTTCACCATCTTTGCAAAAACTATAGAAAAGATTTTAGCAAATACGAACATTTGAAAAGTATAATTAAACATTTGATTAAATAACTTAATACTTGCAGTATCACCGCGTTCTTTGATATAAAAATTTTCTGAATTGTACGTGACCAGAATGAAATGTCCATTTTATTATTAGAATAGTCCATCTCAATTAGACATTAACATAACTTTAAGTGTTCTTATAGATGTTGAAATAAATAAGCTTTTAATAAATCTCCAAGGCGGTTGATTATATATCAATATAAGCTCTAAGGGTGAATGTGAATTCGAAAGTAAAAAATTTCTTTTATCTCACGTAGCTTCATATGAAGTACAAGATCGTTACTATTGCATTTTCCACATTATTTTATACCAAAACTGTAAATGATCGAAGTTATGGTATAAATGCCATACATATACTTGACGTTCAAATTGAAATTTGAACCATCATCCAATGAAGTGTATCAAAGCACTGAAGGATAATTATAATTGAGGTCACATCTGACTATGATCTAAACTTTACACATAATTTAACATAATATTTTATTAATCTAATACTATAAACTATCGTAGAAAAAATGCAGCTTTAGAGAGAAAAGTCTTTTAACGTCAAAATCTTACAAATTTATCGACCAGAACTGTAAATAAATCTAATGTAACAAGGCAAAATTTTAGGAAATTATATACGCTTTTTCACTATCAGTATACATAGAAATATACAAAAAATAAATTTTAAATTGCAGTTATAAACAAAAGACAAGCAACCATTTTCACAAAGTTTTGTGCCTATAGCTTTTAAAGTAAGTTTAGGATGGCAAAGGTAAATTTTTAGCATAGTAGATATTATGACCTTTATCATAATTGTCCGACTCCCGGTATAGTCGTATTGGTAAGTTTCACAGCGATATTGTAGTCATATAATTAATTAATTTTAGTTATTTCACGACATCCTTTTTGACCCTCCTATATGTAATACAGTATATGCGGGTCAAAAAAAATAACACGAGGAGAGTCAAAAATTACAGCTGCGCCGTAAAAATCATGCGACATTAACAGGGAAAAAGTAGGAAAAGTATAAATAAACTTGAAAAATTTTCACTGGCGACCAATTAGTAAACAAAAAAATTTTGTTATTTATAAATATGTTAATGAATTATCGTATTCCTGATAAATTTACATAAACAGCAAATCTACCTCTTAAAGTAAATTAAAATGATACGAACGAGCCACAAAAACAAAATATCGGATTTTAAATTAATATATTTTTTTTTTCCTTTATAATCTTATTTTTTCTTTCCTTCATAAACTTATTTTTTTTTTCCTTCATAAGGCCGGGCAAAAAAAAATTTAGATTCTCGTGACCCGGCCGGGTCAGTTTTTTTATAGTAAAAATTTTTATCACGTGATGTTGAGTTTTTTGGCCAAATGAGCGTAAAAAATTTCACGAATGAAAATTTTACATATATAAAAAAAAATTCTGGCTGGCCGGGTCATTTTTAAAATTTATGTCACGAGAATCTAAAAATTTTTTTTGCCCGGCCTAATCTTAATTTTTTTTTTCTTTCATAATCTCTTTTTTTTTCCTTCATAATCTTCTTTTGAATTGTGTAATATATAAATAAAAAAAAATTGAAAAATTTTTCAAATTCTAAAATAATAATTTTGTTGAATTTTTCCATAAAGTATTAAATTTTGATTTAATTTAAATCCTTTGGATCAAAGAATGCGTATTTCAAATTACTTTCTAATTTCTTGATTTTTTTGTTCTTACAAATACAATTATCTTGATTACAGTGACTAACATTAATGTATATAATTTTATTTTCGTGGGTTTTTTGTTTTAAGAAAATTGGAGCAAATTTGTTTTCTGTTAAATATAAACTAAAAAATTTTGGTTTTGATTCTAGAGAATTAAATTTAATAAAGTTGAGCAGTTTTCTTATCTTATTAGTATGTTGAAAAGTTGAGATTCCATAATTATTAGAATTGGTATAGTCTGAAATAATAAGTGTATAAAATGTAAAATTAGGTAAGTTAACATAGTGATTTTTTTCTAAACAATAAGAAAATATATATGATCCAATTTTTCTATTTTCTCTATCATTAGAAAAATGATGTCCAATGACTAAAGAATTATTTGAAGAATCCAACTTGCTTAATACTGGAATTCCAAAACAAAGAATTGATGAATCATATTCCAAATCTAATTCTTTAGTTATAGCTTGTTGGTTTGATACATTAAATTTATTTTTTAAAACTTTCAATTTAACATTAAAATCTGAATGATTAAAATCAAAATTTATGTCGTAACCAACGATCATCCAAATAATTTTCAATTTACATTCACGTTTTCTAAAATTTTTTTGAATACAATGAATTATAAGTTTTGGATTTTCATTTGGTGGCCAAATAACTTGACAATTAAAGGTATCTTTTCCTTTTTCATCAATAACTGTTGAAAAGATACTACATTCAGCATCTTTATGTTGAAGGATTTCTAAAATATTTTCTGGAATGTTTAATTTAAAAGTATGATACATTCCAGGTACAAATAAATAATAAGTATAATCTTCAGTATTTGTATAAAGAATTTTTTTTCCAACTAATAATAAAATTTGTTTACGCAAATCTTCAGATAAAAGTTGAAAAATATTAACCGGATCTTCAAATTTTATACAACTCCAATTTTTAAAACCATTTAAAGATTCTACCCAATCTGATTCATTAAAGTTGTTAGAACAAACTTCTTTTCCTCCAAATAATTTAAAACTTTGATATTTAAAAGAATTACTTTTGCTTAATGATTTTGAAGACTTCTTTTCAATTTTAATATTTGAAGCCTGACAATCAGTATTTTTAACATATTCACCGAAATTTTCTTCAAAATTTTCTCTTGCAATAGAATAAGCTCTTCCACCCAAAATAACTTTTTTTGAAATAAATCGACCAAAATCATTTATGATATCTTTAAATTTTCTAGGATCCTTGGACGCTATAACACCCTTTACTGCTTCAATAAACCCAGTAGTTGGTTCTAATTTAAATTTTAAAGACATTTTATTGTACTCAATAATATTATAAGTTAAATTAGTTGTAACATTAGAATTTTTGATGTTTGAATTTTTGATTGATACTCCCAATTTTGCAAAATTTGGAATATCAATATCTGCGATTAAAAGAAAATCATTTTTTATAGTCTTATCTTCTTCCAAATCAATTTGAATCGTTCTATTTTCATATCCATCAACGATTTTATCCATTTCACAATCCACTATTGTGAATGCTCTACTATTGGCTTTTTTTAAAGTTACATTACTCCCATATCCTAGTTTAAGCTTATCTTCAAAAAATCTCCAATCAGGTTTAGTTTCAGGTTCTGATTTTAAATATAAAAACTTATCATTTTTTACGTCTATAATATTTTCTAAAATTATTATCTCTTCATCTTCTCTTGCTATTACGGCTAACAAGCTTTCACTAGTACTACTATTATTGTTGATCATCTTTGCAAATGAAAATGTATCGTTCATTTTGACTTCACTGTTTTTTTCAAGTTTATCACGAATTTTTGATAAGCTAGCTTTAAGATTTAATTTGACTAATACAAGCTTTGACGGCATTTGAACTGTTATGTTAATGTCATCTCGTATAAGTTCTCGTATATTGGTAGAATCCATATTATATTGATATCTAGTTCCTTTTTTTGTTGATATTATTGTGATGATATGTTTATGTGTCGTGTGCGTATAACGTTTTTGTAATTATATATATAATATATTTTATAATGTTAAAAGTTAATGTTAATTAATTAATTGTTTGTTTGTTTGTTTGTTTGCTTTTTTCTCATTCGTTTTCCAACAAATTTATTCGATCGCGAATCAACTCACTTTAACCTTCCAGGTTGATACTAACAAATATAACTGACAAAGTTATTCTTGTTATGCTTAATCCGATTTATCTTTTTGTTTCTCTCTCAAAAACAATATTTAAATAATTATTAATTAAAAAATAATTTAAAAAAAAATTTTTGAAAAAAAAGAAACAGATCGCGTTTTAAAAAATAATAAATATTTGGTACGTGAATTTAACGAACCATCAAAATTTTTAAAGGAAAAAAAAAGTCTTGTTCTCTGTTAAGATAAAAACAACTCAAGAAAAAGAAATAATAAAAAAAATTTATGGAAATTGAGATGATTTTTCACTTCCGATAATTGTGTTGTGATTTTTTATGTACTACACAAAAATTTCCGATAGTTATAATGAAGGAAAAATAATAATTTACTTAAGAAAGGTTTTAATTTGAGAGCAAAATGAAAATATTTAAGTTTTTTTTCTAATTTCTATTTCAAAAAATTAATGATAGAAGAATTTTTTAAAAAAGACACATTGAAGTTTCCGCTTGTATTTATAAAAAACGTATAAAATAAATATCATAAAATAAGGCCGAATTAAGTAATAAATAGAATTCCTAGAATTCTAACTGTCGATCTTATCCAAATTTATAATCCCATGAAACCTTCCGATTTCCAAAAATAAAAAATATATAGAAACTATTAAACATTGTTTCCACTCGCAGTAT